AGAGACAAAAGACCTGGTGCTTGATTGCTGAAGATTTCACTTCTTGGCTATACTCATCACTTTCCGAAATGTGAGATTGATTCTTGGGGCAAGTACTCTCTTGCGGGTGGGCAGGCTGTGGTACCAATACACATTGGTAGGGTACTTCATCATCAGCAGGCTACCATGGGCTAGCTGCAGTTTGATGGGCTTAATGTGGCGCGTCGCGTTTTTCCCTCTGGAATCACAGTGCCTGAAAACAAAGTCCCTGCAAGCTCCGAAGGACACAGACGCAATCGGGCTGCGTGGAACCAGTTCCCTCTCGTCATCTCGATGTTCACCTATGTGGTCCCCACCATCTTTATATCTGTACACAGAATAAATTAGTTAGTTCTTCTACCAATCCAGTTAAACGAATGTCAAACAACTCTTCAGTGATCTGTCAACAATGTTGCACAAGCAATTTTTCATTTGAACAAGTTGCTTGATGCAACTGGAAATCAGACATACCTGTTAATAAGAACAAAATTAAAAGTATGTCCTGTGTGCAAAGTGACGCGGTCTCTGATACGGTTGAGAACTGGGATCCACGGCTTAGGAGAGAAGGTAACGCCAGAGTAAGTGTATGTTAACTCAGGGTCTCCATAGGTTACCTGCTTCCTTGGAATGTCATGCCACTTGCCAAACACGTGCAATTTCGTCATTTCACCTGTTTAAACAAGACAGAAGAAGGATCAAAACCAACTCTGTATTACCTCTGCAGTTCAGTCTCAACATTCTCCTTGATTTGGAGCTTCTGTGAATCTCCAGTGGGACAACAGAAATGAGGATGCTTATGACAACCCAAAATCATCTGTGTTCAAGTATTTCTGTCCCAACAAAGTACTTAACACTCAAGTTTGACACTGCCTTGCTATCCCCCTTGAATGGGATGAACGGGACTAGCACCCCCATCATATTCTGTTGTTGAATTAATGTGACCGAGGATATCTCGTATACCACATCTACCAACAAACTCCTGCCACCCTTCCAGGACTACCCCGGTTCTTTGGAAACATTAAAACATGAAGGAAACTGCTTGGCACACGCTTCAAGCTAAGCAAAGCTAACCCAGCAGTATCAGACCTGTGCTTGCACTTCACTCCGCAGGGCCTGACTTGGCACACAGCAGGCGCCTGCAGAAGCCTCTCCACCGTCTGGCAGCTCTGCCCAGGCCGCAGGAATCATCCCGGGACTCGCCTGGCGGGGGGCCGGGCAGGGAAACACT